TCTTTTCGACTTGTACTTGTTCTCAGAATATGGGTTATATATGCTACATCTGGAATTATTAATTAATTTCTAAAGAAAATATTTTGAATGACTCTAAAATATTTACCGACATAACTTTTATGTGATATCATGGAGAAGTATTTGCAGACATAGTTAAGACGTGCTTACATGGATAAACTTTAAGTGGACTATGTATATAAGCGGCACACAGTCTTGTCAATTATTTTTTAATATAGAAATGCTCTCACAAAATGTCATAAGTAAGTTTACTAAGTCTGTACCCTTGGGCATCTTCAGTCTGCAATTTTGCATCACTTGGTCAGGGATTTTATCCACAATATTCTATGTAAATATATTAGGTCATGTTAGCTGCTAACCATATTGTGGTTAGGAGTTTTCATACACCTTTTTGTATTTCAAAAAAATAAAAAACTTTTAGGAAGTGGTGGTAAGGAAACAGTCAAAAATCTTCTCATTTTTACATATTTACTAAAACGTGTGCGTGAAAACCAACCTCCGCACTATAAGAACGAACTCCCATATAGGAAAAAATTTTAGACTTCGAACTCTTAAATCTTGCCAGAATATAAACACAAATTTGAAAAATATTTCAAAACTTTTTTAATGCAGTAAGAATCGACTTATTAAACAGCGCTCGTATATATTAGATTTAAATAACACCTTCATACATATTTTAAATGATAAATATTTAAAAAGTTTTTTATGAGATTAAAACATGGTGGTCAAAGTTTAAGAAATTTATTTCTTTATCCATAAAGTTAAGAACAGGTAAAAATATGTGCCATTCTATAAAAAATAATACGTGTAATTTCTGATATATTTTAATTTTAAAACTTATTATGATATTTTTATTTTTACAGCTTCTTGACATGTATAAAATGGAGGAGGAAGCTTACAAAATACAAGGGAAGAGTGAATTCTTTGCCTAAAAGAATTTAAATCGATATATAAACATTATTTTAATTGTTATTAAGTTTATGTTGAATACTGAGTGGTCAAAACTTTTTCAACATTTAATGGGCCGATATATGCGGCTTAAAATACAATCGAAATATCAAGTATTCAATATATAAATATATATATATATACGAGTACATACAAGTATATATAAATTTATATATTTATATATATAAATATATATTAATAAATATATAAGTATATATAAATTTATATATTAATATTATGCATATAAGTAAATTATTTAAATTAGTTTTAAATTATTTATAAAATATATATGAAATGTGTAAGAAACGTATTCCAAATTAAAAAGAAAATTATTTAATTTTCAAATTAAATAAAATTTAAAATTAAGAAAAAATTGTATGTAAATGATAAAAAGCAAATACACCGATTAAATATATAAGCCTTTAGAGAAGTTTATAAATTCTAAAAATAAAATGAACATTAAAAGAAAAAACTAATTAGTTAAATTAGTAAATGCAAATCATGTTTAATAAACAAAGCCTTGATAAAGTATTCATAACTCTAGAAAATGTTAAACACATTTCAAAGTACGTTTGATTTTTAAACATTTAAGAAAATATTATATATTAGAATTAAATAAAAATAAAATAGGTTATTTATAAAAAAAAATAGCATTAAATCTCTTACCATGTTAACATATAGTCACTGTAAAGCAGTAACCAAAGAAAAAATCAGTATTCGAATACGCCTAGTAACTTGAGTTTCCACCTTTCCACCTATGAAAAAAATAACAGAGAACTTTAAAGAAAATTTTTATTAATAAATATTGTTAAATTGATAAATTTATAAAAAATCTATTATGAAATTGAAACAAATAACATAAAAGCAGTACAGCATTTATTTTTTCAAAAATAAATTATTGCTATATTTGAAATAAATAAATAAACTTCCCATAAAATTTATAAAAATAAATTCGAAATTGTTAAAATAAATAAACTTTAAATTTAAACATACTTATATTATTATTTAATACATCTTAATGAATTAACTAATTTTTGGTAAATATATCATTTAATATATTAAAGTGAGTTCAAAAAAGTAGTGTGCATTATATATGTGTAATGCTGACTTAAAGAGTTTTACGCTACTGACTCTAAACCATGGATGAGAACTACAAACTGCTGAAAACACTTTAGTGCAAGCAAAAGCAAAACAATATTACAGTCAATAGTCCGTGTTATTAGTGTAAATATTATCGGTCTTATAGCTTTACTTGCACTATTCATAAACCGCACTTTGAGCAGTGTTTTCTCAGTCCTTAGTTAAAAACCAAAAATTGAAATATGTTTATTCTTTTTATATAAAACTTTGTATGTGATATTACTGTTTCTAAAAAGTTATAAAAACTAAACTATTTAAATTATGTATGTTAATCAAAGAAATGCAATATATTTATGATAAGAAAAAAATCAGTAATTATGTAAATGTAATGTATATGTATAATTCTAGTTTCATTTAAATTTTTGAAAATTAAAATTTTATTCAATTTTATTTAACATGATTTATTCTTAAAAGTTAATAAAATATTATATCAAAAGCATATTTAGAAAGAAACTCCCTTAGTTACTTTATGTGCCTCCTTTAATCAAATACACGCTTCCTTGTGATATTTCAAATAAAAAGAATATGTTATGTTATATGCTACTTGTTTATATATATTTCAATCAAAATTACATATAATGTTTGACCATCTAATCAAATTATTATAAATACTCTCAAATCCTTCAATGTGTTTTTTTAAAAATTACACTTTTGCTTAGACCGAACCATTAAATAATTTTTAAAAATAGAATGTATCACCTTTAATTAATTAATTTTTATTCTTACACCTTATATACTAATTATATAGTTCTGTTCTATTAATGTAATCAATATAGGAAGTATAGAAAATTAAATTGATTTTATTATAGGTACACAATATATATATCTGAATTATGTCTGTACGTGTATCTATGCAATACCTATAAAAATTAACAAATGCGTTAAACTTTTTCCAAATATCATATTAACGCACTATTAATTTATGTGCCAACACCCAAGTATTTATACGTAGACATGAATCCGAAAATATGTTCAAGCCCCGGAAAACATGAAAGAGTAAAGCAAAACATGTATTTTATATATAAGCATTCGTATTATTGGGTGTTGATCAAGCAGGTGACTCCAATATATCCTTATATATAGTGTGCATAGGATAACAAAAAATATTTCATATGTACACAGCCGTGTTTGATGGATATTGGATCAAAGGTGTAGGGTATGCCCCAGAAACTACTTGTCATTTTGGTCACAAAATGGCGCCTTTATCTAGAACTAAATATATTTGATTTGAAAATGATAAACACAGACTTAAGTATCAGAAATATTAAAATAGAAGTTCGTAAAGAAACTCTTTTTAGTCATTGATATATATTATACTTTTATTCAAGAACAAGAAATTTTATTGCAATATTATTTATAATTAATAACTTTTAACAGTTTTCTTTTGTGGTTATTGTAGTATTGTAGATTTTGTATCACTAGTTTTTCTCATAAACATTATCTCGAATAATTAATAAAAGAGATTTATTAATTAGCTAAGTTCTGATAACAACGAAAATATCAATTATATTTTGCTATACAGACTTCAAGCAAACTACAAGATATATTTAGTATACAATATTCTATAATTCAAATATTTCAATTTATTTACAGAACAGTTCATACTATACTATTCTATGTTCTATGTTATTAGTGACACCAAATTATTGAATTCTTTAGATATTTCAAATTTAATGTTCACACATACTCTATATTTTATAGCTTTGTCCAAAATCTTAACTACTTCGTTCAGTTTATATATCACCTGCTAGTTGTAAATAAAACCGATCATAGTACTATTAGTCATGTTATTATCTACAGTTAGTTTCTGTAGATTTCTATAACGGCGGTGTTGGTAGTAATATATTTCGTATGGATATTATCATATTAATAATCATAAGCTCAGAAGAAAAGATGCCACACTGCTGCACATTATAAAAAATCATATGTATACTTAAACTTAATTGTTTTGAATTAAAAAGAAATGTTTATCTTCCAGTTGTATTTCAAGACTTTCAAAAACATATTAAAGAAGTGTAGATATTCTATCTTTCCACATATATACGACGTGATGCTTTCAAAAAATCTTTAACTGCAA